CGGAACAATACTGTGATTGATAGCAGGAATGGTTGTTTGCCTTTTTGATACGAGAGTTCCTGTCCGACACATAAAAAGGCTAAAGGAATCACCTTTGAGTCATGCTGAGCTGCTCCTGAAACAGCTCAGGGACGGGAATGTATGGAAAAGACTATAAACCATAACAGACAACACATACCGTGATAGTGTAAATTCTTGCTGTTGAAATGGAATAATCAGTTAACTTTGACAGGAACAAATTTGTTTTATACATGCAGCAGTGTATGATTGAACTCCTAACAGTGTTTTTTAACTGCTTTACATAGTTTTAGAAGGTCACTCAATACATGCAGATGTAAATTGCCAAAGAACAACACTGCCTGTGACACTAGAGACCAGCAGGGAAACGAGTTAGCAAAGGTATGTACCTGTATACATTAAAGGGGCAATTTGCTAAAATCTGTTTCCCCAGGCAAAATTGAAGGGGTTGATTGTATCAATTACTCTACCTTATAGACACACTACCTTTTATTGCCTTGACACACGCAGACACATGCATGCAGTACATGAACACACAAAAGAAAGCAGACATGCAGACCTGCCTTTAAGTGACTGACATGTGCATGTTGTTGAAAGACAACACAGTGAGAGCTGAGTCATTTAAATACCTTGTTATTCCCATACCTTTTTCATAAGGTAGTGTATAATGAAGTTTTGAATGATCAACATTAGCCTTAGGTTTATAATTTGGAAACCACACTGTGTTCAGTGCCAAAGCTAAATCCAAGTGTCAGGAACTGCTGCTGAACCGAAACATATTTTGTGTTTCAATGTATCAATCATAGACAGTGATCATGTGAAAAAATAGCCACAAAAAGTAGCTGTTAGACGCCAGACTGCCAACAAGAGTATTAGTGTACAAGATGAAAAAAACACTTTTATCCAAAGCGACTTACATACTCAATACTGTGGACAATCCCCACAGGAGCAATGTGGGGTGAAGTGTATTGCCCAGGGACACAACGACATGCTGACTGCAGTGGGGTTAGAACCTGTGCTCCCCTGATCCGAACACCAACGCACAACCCACTGCGCCACACGCCTCCTGGGGGGACAATCGAATATGAAACTTGGACACAAGCCTGAAGTGTGAAAAACACCTCTGAACCCCTTTTACTCACTGTGTTATTTCTGATGATGCAATGAAGTGCTACATTGCATCTATTTGCACTGAAACTGCAATTAATTTAAAGATAATTCCTTGTAGGACTGGAGCAACAACTTGGTAATTAAAGTTATGAACTGTGCGTGTAATTATGTCATTACTTTGCACGTCATAGGTGTATGATTTTCTATTAGTCATGGAGGGAGGCTTTAAATATAAATTAACTGTTGGTCCAGTTGCCGAAAAGTATGAATGACTCGGGATACATTTTTATGCAAGATACCATTTCATGCAGTAAAGGTCAGAAGCCTCAGAAACTGAAGTGAAGTGTTAATGGCTGCAACATAAAATCATGTGAGTGTGTGTCGAGTCTGTGTGTCTGCTTGCCTGGCAGGGTGAAGTCATGAGTTTGAAATTCTTGATATATTTTGCACATTATTTTTCCAAAAATGTCATGTATAAAGACGATGCCATTACAATCAAAATGTAGTTGTGTACATAAATGATTTTGTTTTGTAAAAAAGTGTGTTTTATAATAAAAGTTGTGATTCTCATTACCAAATGAAGCTATTATAACTTTTATTTAAAGGGGACCTATCATGCAAAATGCACTTTTTGATGTCTTTTATACATAAATATGGCCCTGTCTCAGGTCGACTATTTTCATTTCCTTGTTCCTCGGTCCTCGGTCTCACCGGAAGTTGATTTGTCTGCGCCATCTTGAGTACCATCCCATGGCTCTTATTTCTGCCGGTGGACCGAGGATTGCGAGGCGCGATAATGGAGGAGCGATAATCGAGGAACCACCAGTCCATCCTCCGATGAAATCCTCAGATACTCGCCCCGCCCCCTTACTGTGTATCGCTCACTGATTGGACGATGCAGTGCATGCACTGATCTCATGCTTCTTGTTCTTGACATGAGAGCAGTACCCCAGCGGAGTGAAGAAAATAAATGAAATTTACGAGAGTCACTCCTCAGTTTAAACTGTGTTTTGTTTCAATTCATGTATCATTTAGTTACAAATATGTGATATATCTGAACAACAAAGTGGTCAAAAATCATTTTATTCATTTATTGGAAACATTTTCATGATCGCTTTTTTCGTTTCATATTTTCATTTACTGTCATTTCCATTCAGTCAGTCATTAAGTGCTATTAAAATGTTAATGTGCTACATATCCACACAAACAAACAAAGTG